TAAAATGTTCAAATTGATAGGTGTTCAAATTGATAGGTGTTCAGATTAGATAGGTGTTCAAATTGATAGGTGTTCAGATTAGATAGGTGTTCAAATTGATAGGTGTTCAGATTAGATAGGTGTTCAAATTGATAGGTGTTCAGATTAGATAGGTGTTCAAATTGATAGGTGTTCAGATTAGATAGGTGTTCAAATTGATAGGTGTTCAGATTAGATAGGTGTTCAGATTAGATAGGTGTTCAGATTAGATAGGTGTTAAGATTAGATAGGTGTTCAGATAAGATAGGTGTTCAGATTAGATGGGTGTTCAGATTAGATAGGTGTTCAGATAAGATAGGTGTTCAGATTAGATAGGTGTTTAGATATACACGTTTCACTTGATTTGGTAGGAATATAATTTAAAATTACCAGAAAACCATCAGTTACTTCAAATGAACAATAATTTTTCACTAACTCAACCAAATCAAAAGTGAAAGCAGTTCCAAAAACTGAGCCAAGTGAACACCAATCTCAAGAAGTAATTCATATTACTATACAAATATGGCAGTTTCTTTATTACAATGATAATCTCTTCATATCCACATGTCACTCTCTTCATCTGAATTCATAGATTCATATGGTGTATAATGAAGGAAATGATGAATATCAGAAGGATAATTTATAAATGATGTACTTCAATAATACCAAGATAAAGAGGTCAAAATTTCACCAAGTAATCTTTACTCTAAATTCATCATTTTGAGGGTTCTTATCTGATCATTAAATCCCCCTAGGGAAGTGAGATTAACATAGTTACCCCAGAAAACCTAAATGTCTGCCCACTGGTCTGTTTTTGTGTCCAGACAAGTGTGTACTTTAATATCTTATGACTATTATCAGACTTCTATTTCAATTGTTTTAATAATTTTATTCAAAATCTTTTTTTGTATACCCTGGGTCATAGAATGATACCATGCCCTCTTACTAAGAGTGATTATCTTACAAATTGAAACAAGGCATTATAATGCAAAATGTCACCACCTGTAATTTGTAACAGATGACAAACTCTGAAATGCTGAATGCCAACTGCCAAACACAATTCACAAAAAGTTGGAAATTATAACCATATGTCACACTTGAGGTGGTGACATATAAAATTAATATAATAGGACCGGGTTTTAAAAAGTGACAAGAAAAAGTATAACCAGATATGAGATGGCTCGTCAATTAGTCTTATCAACACTAAACAGAGTAAGAGAATGACAGAGATAGATTCTTGAAAAGGGTTAAAAAGCATGTGAACACAGCTGTGAAAACATCAATAGAATTTGAGCCATCAAGGAGATATGGATGAGAGATTTGAAGTAGACATAAGGACAAATGACTTAAACTTGGGATTATCCTGATTTCCCAACCTCTTGATTTTGCTTCTTAAAAGAGAACTTCATCTACACTTCTAAAGTAACAGATAATAATTCCACCTAACATTAACCAATCAGGCTGCACTATAGTTGGTCAAAATCCAGCTACTGTATCAACATAACATGAAAGAATTCACTTTTGGGGCCATTTGGGATCTTATCTGCATCAAAACTGAATATCCATATCTCCACAGTCTGATAAATTAGGCTCTGGTCTTTGAGGCTATTATTCCATCTAAGGGCTAATGGCTTATTGCTGGTGAATTGTATTTAGTAGCTCTATCATTACACATTTCACCAGAAACTGGACAAATCAATTTGCAGCTAAAGATTTATTATAAAGTCTACTTAGACTGTATCCTGTGATAATAACAGACATTTTACATTTCACAAACTCATTTGTCTTTGAGGATTATTGAAGAATATGTCTTAGATTTGGTGAAGGATGTTAGCATTATCTGAGGGGGGGGGGCTGGTTAGTCGTATGAAAGAAAAGAGGGGACAATGTTTGAATTTAACACTTTCCACATTACTCATAACAGTAATGATTCATTACAATAAATGCCAGATATTTAAAAAGCATATGATCCTGTTGAATAATATTTTGATTAGTTGGCTGGTTTTATCTACCATATTCTCAGTATTGATTAACATCAAGGATCTCTCCATCAGAGTGTACACGAAGCTCTCTTTTAAGAGGTGATGTACCAACTGTAGAAGAGGTAACTGAAGTCCAGAGTTGTAGGCTGTTTAATAAGCAGTTGAGTAAACACCCAATGTGCTCTTCCTATATTCTAAGTACTAACATAGACTGCAGGTTTGACACAGGAAATATGATTAATGTAAACACATGGTCAATGTTTCTACCTTCTTATTATTTCTAAATAGACCACTCTTGGCAATATTGTGCATCTATTTCATGCAAAATAATTCTGGAAACACAGTAATACAAATATCTAGAATTTTGTTTATAGAATATTTTCCTTTTTATCTAATTAAGAAATTGTCTAAAATAAATCGAATTATCCAAGTTTTCACCGTTTCTAAAATGTTCAACTTTTTTTCGTTTGTACATATGGTAGATATGGATCTTGTAGCATTCTCACCATTTTACTGCATATAACTAATTACTTGTTATATAAGAACACTCCCCCCAGTTTTCTGCAAGTTAAAATGCTCAATTCTGCAAGTGAAATTAGTGAATTCTGCAAGAAGAAAGGGCTAATTCTGCAGAAATTCCGCGGATATTCGCGGCATTTTTTTATATAATATAAATAACTGTTATTAATTTATGTCTTTGTTTAACTTTCTGACGAGAACCGAAAGAAAAACTAATGGTTTTCGAACCAGTAAACGGGAAAATATCGTGATAGTCAGGTAGTCAGTCACTACATACATGCTGCCATCTAACGGCAGAAATCAAACGATGGCGTTTAGAATTTTCACTTCGCATAATTTGGGTTATTTCTGCAAGGGATTTGACTGAAAATGTGTCAAATTGTTACAGGTAAGACTGACTTTTTAAACTTTTGGAAAATATATGGATTCTGCGGAAAATTCCGCGGAAATTGACCAAAATAGTTGATTCTGCTATTCCGCGGGCAGAGGCAAATTCCGTCCGCGCTCTGCAAACACGGAATCCTGGGGGCAGTGTAAGAAGCTCTTCTACTTGGAAAATATAAGCATTTTCCAACAATTTACCACTAATCTTATGGTTAAAGTGAATATATTTCTTAAGATCATATACTACAGTTCTACTGAATTCAAGTGTTTTGTTCAAAGTATGAAGAATGACTCTCTATTTCATTTATTCTAAACATTTTCACTGTGCTATTTATTCAAGTAGGTTTATTTCTAAAACTCACACAACTGTAATGCTAATATATAGGATAAGATAAAGTATACAACAAGCCAACACTAAAATTAGTCTCTCTCCAAGTAAAATCTTTCACTAATTATATCCAGCCTATCAAGGGATTCTTCCCAGTTATACTTTTCACATTTAGATTTTATATGGTTTATAGGTCTTATTTCTATATAACTTAAGTGTTTGCTACACACCTGTTTGCTTTATATAGTTTATACAATAAAGTATGTCTATATACTCTCTGACTACGTCGCATAAAAATGTGTACTTGGCTTTCTCACTTAATTCAAAGAATAAATGGAGATACTAGTATGTGATTTATACTTTAAAACCATAGTAACAACTCTAGCATTGGTTTCTTTTAAACCACCACTTATACTCCTTGACCTTCTCTCAGTAAGTTTTTAAGTTTTAACTTGGAACTGAGGTAGGCCATTTCGGTTCATTGCCACATATGCAGTATAAAGAAAAAGACTAATGATTCACAAATAACCCATACTAAGAAATCAGTAGATTTATAATTAAAATATTTTATCAACCTACTGTCCCTATCCCTAGACCCTATTTATTTTTCCTGGTTCCTGTAAGAATGCTAAAAAGCTTCAAATTAACATAAACTAGGTCTACCAATAAATAAATATTTAATTGGATTTGTTGCTGATTTATATGTAACAATACCATTACCATCTCATCAGTTTATTGGAACCGATCTGATACCACATCTTACGGTTGAAAGTATGCTGGATTAGTGTTTTTTAGATAAAATTCAGCTTTGTGTCAAATACTGACAATATTTTTTAGCCCCATTCATTTCAATACACAAGTAGTTGCGGGAGTGATTTAAAAAATCAGCCCATTTATGGGGGTACGATTAGACTGTATCCTTCGTCTGAATAAATATTCAGACTGTAAGTCACCTATTGTAAAATGTGGTGTTGTATAAATGTTACAAATAAGATTGTTTAATGATAAAATGATTACCTTATGAAGAACTCACAATATTATTTTTTCGTATATTGTCCTCTTACTGAAGATATTCATAAAATGTACAGACGCTTCTTGTAGCGAAGCCATTGATTAGGTCAAGCCATTTTGGCAATGCCAATTCTCACGATAAACGAGATTTAGCCAGTGACGTCAGTCTATTTGTAAACAAATAACACGTGGAGCGGGAGCAACATTACGGAAGCGTATTGCTAAATTCCATTTGTGCGGGAATTTATTAGATCTAGTCATTTATTATCATTATCCCGATTAATTTTCTTCATTTATAGTAAATAGAGCGGAAATATTCATGAAGAAGGCCGAGGTAATCAAGTGGTCATGTGTTGTCAAAGTTCAAAATTTGCATATCTCGTTTGGATCTCGTGAACTCAAACGTCCTTGACATTGATTTCGCGATCTACTTATGAACACATCCTGAAGTTTCGGTGAGTCTGAACATTTCATTATTTTATATCAACTTGTACCCGCCTTATACAAATATTTTTGCTTCTAGTTTAAGATGAACATCTCTTCAACATATTCACCAATTTTCAAGGTGAACATTCTTATAATAAACGAGAAATTAATGTGCAAAAAATATCACCGCGATTTCCATAGGAAATATATCAATCATAACAGACCGAATATTATATTCGGTCTGTTGGATACATACTAGGGGTACGATGGCGAGAATAACAAATGTGTGACCATTCATTCAAAATGACATTGTAAAAACAAAAAATACATACTGGTCCTACGTATCTAAATCCATGGTCAAGTGCTAGCTTGCGTGCAACATCTTCACCTCCATCTATTTCTACTGCCCATTTGTCTGTGTATTGTGCCGCATCAATGATTTTTAACAAAATAAATCCACACACAAAAAGTCCAGTTATTTCTTTCATTGTTATTTTGAAATGCATTCTAGCGTCTAGGTATAAAATGTATAGTATCCACTCTCTGTTATAGTTTGAAAACTAAAAAGTCATGTTTGAAAGTTGGAACAAGTCAGAAATTTGAAAAAATCATCCGATTTCAGAAATGATTTTACAATGATAAAAGTGACGCTTATTCGATAGATACTTGATGCATAGTAGACTGAAACTTCTATCCATTATATTATATACTTATCATTAAAGTTATCCATACTAAAACTGTATATTTATCTTGATATTCTTTAAAACGTCCACTTCTCGCTTACGGTTCTAAAAATAAGACAAGATGGCGTCATAGCAAGGACCCCTTATATGTTTTGAGAAAAATAATGTGTTTTACTTATTCGGCAAATGTTAGATTTGTAAATACTAAAATGGCATACAATTATGTCTAATACACTACTGAAATAGTCATAAGGAATAGCGAGGTTCACTTTTTAAAACACTAATTGGTATTCACAAGAAGTGTGTCTATGGGGTCTTCTTTAAATGGAGGAATAAATCTCAAAACGAAATTACTGTGATTTTTTAAGTAACCAATAGCTACAGTTCCAGGATAAATATTGAATAATCAATGTGTAAAATAATTTAATCTTTTGAAAACAAGTCACTGATTTGAATTAAAGGTTGAACTTATGATGTAATACTTCAAAATATTAGTTGGTCCAAAGGAGATAGCCACAAGTGTCCAAATTAAATGCAAACTAAATAAACTGTATCCGCCAAGAAATTCTAAAGGATAATAAACAGTTGGTAATGACCAAACAAAATAATCAAGTAGAAGTAAAGAAGATTGTGATTGGCATTTCTAATTTTCTACTGCACCACAGCATCCACATTTTGTCACATTTACATGAGAGGGGGGGGATGTCGTGTCGTGTCTGGTTCGATTTTCCCCTTATCATTGGAAAATCATTTTCTGACCTTGTGTGTAAGAAAATACTCTAAAAATAAGACTAAATGCAAATTAGTAAAAAGCACAAAATTTAGGTTTGTACTCAAAAAGAGATTGATTTCGGCACGCTTCATTGAATAATTGAGGGAGGTTTCCATTCCCAAATCTGATTTTATATATCTGCCCGAAATAGATATCATAAATGTAGAATCATAAATGAAGAAATTATACAGTTAGAGTCCTCAAGTTTAAATGAATGACATCTATATTCTTCTTTAAACTACATTATTAAATCAATATTTCAAGTTTTCGTTTCACGTGAATTTGCCATTTAGACGTAAGCCAGGTAATTTGTTGATAGTAGTAGAATTCAAAATATTTTCACAAATGCCTGACAAAATGCTGTTTTAGACATGTTTATTCTCAAGTTATCCCAAGGTAAGTGCGATTTGTAAATAATAGAACTAATGAGAACTATTTGATGTGAATTATAAGAAAGAATTGACTTGTTATTTCAATTTATATTGTAATGCTCACCTGTCCATCAGATTTTCAGTTTGCAGTAAAATCACATATCCTCAAGGCTCAAGTGAAATAATTTAGTTTTGATTGGTATATAGATCACTTTTCACCTGTGTAGGGACTAAAGTCCGATTCAAAATTCTGACCCAAAATGAATGGAACCCATAAATTTGCTTGTAATTTCTATAAACAATAAATGCTTCATTTTTCACTCATATCAAGCTGAAGTGATAACAAATAAGTCTAAAAGTTTGGGTCCTGCCTTTGATTAATGCCTTTCAAAATACATGTTTGACTATGATAATTGCGATGTCGCAGGGACTCCTGAATAAGGTGTGCGAAGGTTCCAAACTACTAATCAGCGAATCAAATCTTGTGTCAATGAGAAAGTTTTTGATAGCTTTGGGGAGACGTAGGGGTTACTCGAGTCTCTAGCCAATACTTGGCTAGAGGGGATTGCATCTGGAATACTGTGACAGGCCTCGCGTTTAACTTTTTTTATCAGGTAGTTGTTTCACTATTTAGTGAATTTTCCAGGTAGCTATTTCAGAGAAGCAGGTAGTGATAATTTTGATGAAAGATCTTTATTCTTATGACTTAGCAGCGCAATAATAAGATATTACATTGTAAATAAATGTTGCATACACATTTCATTGATAGTAAGAATGAAGTCGACTATGATTTGTCTGCTTTCGTGCAATTGTAAAAGTTGTGATTCAGCAACAAAGATCAGCTGATTGGCAAATTAATCAAAAATCTGTATATTTTCACATGGAGAGTTGTTAGTTGAGGTACTAGTGAAGTTAGCTAGTTAAAGGAAATGACAAGTAGTGTTTTTGGAAAAACAGGTAACAAATCACTACCTTAGCAATGCTAATTTCGAGGCCTGTGTGAACTCTATTTGAAAAAAGCTGGCCGTGGTGTCATAAATTTATTGAATATTTTAAAAATCGCCAGATAAATAAATCATTAATCAAACCGGACCCAGCTCGGCTCCTTGATGAGATATGACATGATTTCATCAGGATTTCGTCTAAAATTAAAACAAAATGGCTCCAAGAAAAAATGGCGATGTTCGAAAACTGGACGAAATGTCGTTAACGTCTGACATTAGTTACTGGCTGTAAATTCTAAGTTAGCGATCCAGAAGATGTGAACTAATACACTGATCACTTTATGTGTGTTTTGGAATTTTTGGTGAGGTAATAAAAAAACTCGCAATTCAAATTGTGATGTGGAAAAATGGCGGACATATGATTTCAAATTTTATGATTACGACATGACCATTTGTTCATGCAGGAATATATCTGTACTGGAAGGCCACGATACAGTGGCCTTAGAAGAAGGTAACGTAGGGGCACCACTCATGAAGGACAATGGTTCCAGCAGGACATGGCCACCCACACACTATTGACTGAACAATATCTTTGGGATTAATTGAAGAACCATTGTAATTATGAAAATTGCCCCCAGACAATCAGATACCTGAAAACAGAAAGCACTGCAAAGATCACAGCTATCCCAAGAGTAGCATGTTCGCAAAATTGACAACTTTGCACACCATCAGGAGTGCCTGCGATATCAATGTTGTCTTATCGAGCACTTTTTTTAAAGGCCTTAAAAGACGGACCATTTGAATGGCAAGACTCAAACTTATAAGACTTATTTGTTATGGCCCATGAGGGAAAAATGAAGCACTTGTCTGAATATAAATTACAATGAAAAAATTACTATATTTTAATTGTGAAAAATCACTCTATTTTTTTCAGGCTGTCTGATGTTGCAAACCATAAAGTATAACGATGTGATGACATATTATTGCAAATCATAAATTTCTATAACCATGCCCAAGTTCAAGAATTTCCTCAAAGGAAAGACCAAGAGTACGACTGATGTAAGTTTATAAACAATGTTATATCGAAAGATTGACCAAAATGTCAATACATAATGATAAAAATAGGTTCATCATTCTTGTGATTGGCTAGTTGATTTGCACTGGAATTAAATATCAACCTGACTCTGTCTTCGAGTGTAAATGCACAAAAATGGAATTTTGCACAGTTGCATGCTATGATGTATTGATTGCCAAAATCTTGCAGTAAATACAAAACATGGTTACGTTTTCTTGAACATTTTGAGACATACAAAATATAAAATCTATTTGGGCCATGAAATATAGCAATGGCCTTACCTGAGAGGGTTTTCAATAATGAAGGGAATATGGTAACAGAGCCACAAAATCTGTTACGATTTTCTTTATAGTCTAATAAAATTGGCATATTGGCCTATGAATTTGTTTTCAATACACTATCTCCATTTGCTTGCGCATGATGACTCCTTTTCTGCAGCTTGTGGAGAAGTGGTGACATATTGTTATATCTTATTTTCTGGATAGTGCAATGGTTGGTGTTCTGTGGTTGGTGTTCAATGGTTGGTGTTCTGTGGTTGGTGTTCAATGGTTGGTGTTCTGTGGTTGGTGTTCAATGGTTGGTGTTCTGTGGTTGTTTGGTATTCAGTGTCTGTAACAAATGACTGATGGTGACATTTTGCATGTTGCCTTTTTGAAGTTATTTTCAAATGTGGTTCATTTTAATCCTCATAGGGACTTGTGATTTTCATACTTAGATGTACAGATTACCCTGACATTTTTATAAAGCCGAGTAGAAATAACAACACTCTGACAATTTTTACACTAAAAATATCTTAGTGACCCTAAAAATAATGAAAGACAGGGCTTTCATTACTTTAACATCATTCATTATCATGCAATTTTTACTCTACTACATACTAAATGCATCATTCATGAAATATTGTATTGTTAGAAAGTTGAAATGTCAATTGCTTCTAGGCAAACCATTTAACAGTCATTATGTACTGTTCTATAAAATGTCTGACTGCTCATGCTTATTCCTCTCATTTCTCTCAGAAATTTGAGTGAAATGTCTGATTTTCTTGCATTTCTATACAATTAAGAGTGTTCACTACATGCCTGTTTACTTTATTCCTTGCTGATTCCTCTCACTACCACTCTATTTAAAATTTTGAAATATATGACCATGGTTTTTTATATCGGGGAATTCGTAGAATAATGAAATGTACTCTGATTTTAAGCCTTGGGATCTTAAATGAAACTACTTGTTTTTCCTTTGTTCAAAAATTTCTTGATTTGAAAATACTTTCAGTAAAAAGCCCACTGGGAATTTATTTGAAAAGTGAACTCATATATTTGTCTCGTGTATAACCTTTTGGGATATTTGTTAATTTGATTTTTTATCAAAATTGTACGCATCTTTAGCTAAAGAAGTCAGAAAAAATAGTTTGAGAAGTTGTATCACCAAAAGATTCCCGTAAACCCCAAATCAAAAATTTCTTCCCTCTTATTTCCTCTAAAATACTACATTTACTCCCTATATCCTCTATAAGTGTTTTCTGTTTCAATTTTGTTTGATTGCATTGTTTGAGTCCAAAAAACTTTCATTTAATTGACGATTGAATATTTTTAGAAAATGAATAATAAATCTCTTCAATTGAGAAATCAATTTATTCAAAAACCATAAAATTTTCATCACAATTTTGGAAATTTTCAGCATTTACTAAGAATGGTGTAAACTGTTCACAGTATATAGAACTCCACCACAATTTATGCTCACCATATGCATTTCTCCAAAAATATGTACATAATTATCATTTGAAAACAAATGACATATGCTTTTTTACAGTAGATGTATTTGCATTCTGTTAGATCATATTGATTTATTGATTTCCAGCTCTCTGATTGGTCAAAGCAAGATGAGAAACTTTTCCACGCTCTAGAGATCGGGGATATTGAGAAATTAGAACAGATCTTAACAAAGAAGAAAGTTTCACCAACGAAGATTGATGAAAATGGGACATCAGCGTAAGTGAATCAACAATCAAGCTTGCGTATCTAAAGTTATATACCCTTTTAAAGAATTGTCTTGAATGTTGTGTGAAATCTATAAAGCCGCACACATATTGTCTATCTATGTTTTTGATGAGTTTGGATTCATTTACACAGCCAATATAATTTGACGCCGTTTCGGCATCGAAAAAATTTGGCACTGTTCCGGCACCGTTTCGACACCGTTCAGGCACCGAAAACTTAATTGACACCAAAATTTGTTACCGGACTAGTCAGTCCATTTGGTGCCGAAACGGCACCGAAATTTGGCACAGAAACGGCGTCGAAAATCAGATTGCATTTTGGGGGTGTATGCTCTCTGGGTATAAAGCAAAATTGTCTACACAATTCATTTAGCTGATTTGATGAAACAGTCAGTTTTTTTCACAACGGGCTAAATAGATGAAAACAATAGGCAAAGTTAATGGAAATCATAAATATAACATGGAAAAGTTGAAAAGTCCCTAAAACTACAGGCGATTTTGTGAAAACAACTGGTGAAAATTGCCTGTTACCTGCTGCTAATGAAACCCATGACACTTGATAAAACAAGAGTTCCTATAACTGACCCTTAGCCAGCTTTTGCCAAGGGGCGATCAGTTTTTAAAAAAATTCCAGGGAGTCAAATTTGATAGTAATGGCTCACTTCCTCCCCCTGTCTAAGGACCAGCACTAAGTATGATTTACCAGTACTTGTATAACTATTAATTAATTACATTAGTAGATTAATTCATTTAGTTATTGTTTAATATCAAATGTACAATCTGAGACTAACATAAAAATGATGGTCTCCGGTACAATGTACTACACAATTAATACACATGTATGACTTAACTGAGTCTAAAATAAATATACCTGTACTATTTATAAGACTAATCAACTGGTATAAAATAACAGTTCTTAGTGTAAATGACACGCCTTCTTACATTAAAATATTCAATTAAGAATTTTGTATTACAGAGCTAGAGAAACAATAAAATCAACAATACTTTCCTTTTGTGAAATACCTCAAATCTTCTTCCATTTAGATTCCACCATGCATGCAGTCTTGGCAACCTTGAAGCTGTGGAATTGTTTCTGGCACATGGGGCAGACATTTGCTCAATAGATAGCGCTGGTAAGCCATGGAACTTATTTATGGGGCACATTATGTACAAAGAAAATAATGTTGTCACTAAGTTCAGCCATCATTTATTTATACTTTTCTGACAGGCCTTAAATATTGGCATTCATTGGTGTTGGGAGTCTAAGTTTGTAGCCATTTGTTACACTTTTGTAACAATTTGCCACACTTTTGTAACAATTTGCCACACTTTTGTAACAATTTGCCACACTTTTGTAACCATAGGCGATAATTTTCAAATTTGTTAATGTCTTGTCTAATTAGTAAATTGATTGATTCATTAATATATTAATCAAAGAATGTAACGTTTGAATTGTTTAATGTGTTAGCAAATACATGTGGTACTAGGAGTCAGTTTTGATATATTTGATGAACTTGGGGTAAGTATTTCATAAAATCAAGAAAAAAATATCTTTCATTTATTTGTTTACTTTTAGGAGCCACTGGACTTCATGTTGCTGCTCGTCATGGAGAAACTCAAATCATGGAGAGGCTTATTCAGGTACACCCATTTTAAATGTATCCACCCATTTAACATGGCTCCTCCCACCTTGCATGACTCCTCCCACCTCACATGACTCCCCCCCACTTAATATGACCCATAATTTATCTAAACTTTTCTCATTTTAAAAGACTCCATCCATTTATCTTGACTGTTTTTGACTCCTCAAACTTTACATGACTCTTCCTATGTAATTTGACTCCTCCCACCTAATATGACTCCTCCCACATCAATTTTATTTTAAGGTTTCTTATTATAGAAGACTTTTTCCATTAATCTTGACTCCTCCCACCTTGTATTGAACCCTCCAACTTTACCCACTTTGCTCCTCCCACTGTTTTACCTCCACCCACTGAACAAAAGCACCCACTTTATGTTCATTTAACTCCTCTCTCTCTTTAAATGAACTATTAATATTTGTTTTAAATTCACCAATGTGATGTAATAGATACAGTAATATACTTAACCTCCTGACTACCTGGAGTGACGAGATTTCTCGTCACCTCAGAAATGACTTTGAAACCCAGAGTTACGAGAAAATCTGTCACAATTTTTTTCACTAAAATTGCTCTTATTTAAACAATTTTCATCTAATATACTCAAAAATTGTTTTAAAATGTGTAGAAATGATCTCTGTTAACTAATCTTACTCATAAGTAAGTTGAACATCTAAAGATATAGGTATGTTGTAAAATGTCAAAAGGTGGCAAAAATTAAAAATTCTCTGGATTCAACCGATTTTAGAGCCTGGGATTCAAGAGGTTAATAAAAAGCCATAAAAATATTCTGTGGATGTGCAAGCTGGTTAGTCATCTAAGAACACTGGATTTGAGTATATAAGTACTGTATATAGGATATATTTCATTATGCTTAATACATGCACAAAGACTATATACAGGGTACATAGTTTTAGTTTCTTTCCCTTTTATAATATGACATTGAAACATTACAGTTCAACTGCACGTTACACCCTTCGTAATCACGTATCATTGCCTCTCAAATGATATGCAGAGCAACCAAAGTATACACAATTTACAATAACATTTTATCTACAGAGCAACCAAAGTACAATTTACAATAACATTTATCTACAGAGCAACCAAAGTATATACAATTTACAATAACATTTTATCTACAGAGCAACCAAAGTATATACAATTTACAATAACATTTTTATCTACAGAGCAACCAAAGTATATACAATTTACAATAACATTTTATCTACAGAGCAACCAAAGTATATACAATTTACAATAACATTTTTATCTACAGAGCAACCAAAGTATACACAATTTACAATAACATTTTATCTACAGAGCAACCAAAGTACAATTTACAATAACATTTATCTACAGAGCAACCAAAGTATATACAATTTACAATAACATTTTATCTACAGAGCAACCAAAGTATATACAATTTACAATAACATTTTTATCTACAGAGCAACCAAAGTATATACAATTTACAATAACATGTTATCTTCAGAGCAACCAAAGTATATACAATTTACAATAACATGTTATCTTCAGAGCAACCAAAGTATATACAATTTACAATAACATTTTTATCTACAGAGCAACCAAAGTATATACAATTTATAATAACATTTTATCTACAGAGCAACCAAAGTATATACAATTTACAATAACATTTTATCTACAGAGCAACCAAAGTATATACAATTCACAATAACATTTCATCTAGATACAAAAGTAGAATACAGAACTTAAAATGTGATCTTAAACATTCTTTTCTACTTTCATTTCGCAACTGTCATTTACTACAATTTCGTTAATGTTTTTGTTATATGTCATTTATCTTTTTCAAGAGGTCCTTTTTATGTTGCGTCAAGTTAAAAGAATTCAAAGTTCTACAATGTTGAAAAAGCAGTTTCCATTCTTGTTATTTTAGGCAAATGCCCCTCTGGAGATCATGGACCATTCACGCCAGACCCCCCTCCATTATGCAGCTCGTGGGGGTGAGGTTCATTGCGTCGTTGTCACCCTGAAACACAATGCAGAGCTTAACCCAGAGGATAAGGTATTCTAAACTTTTGTTAAAATGTCCGTCTGTTCTTATTTTCCTGCAGATGCTTATTTTACGCTATTGCTCGCTAAAATTTGTATAAAGTGTCTGATTTACTTGCAATTTTATACAATTTAGAGTGTTAACTACATGCCTGTTTACTTTATTCCTTGCTAATTCCTCTCTTCTACTATTTTTTAAACCATATTGGTGACCATTGTTTTGCCCCCTTTCCCATGCTAAATAGAACATACTCTGTTTTGTTATTTTTATCTTTACTTATCTTATCTTTTACTTTTGGTTTCCCCTCGCAATTAAGTTGCTTTTCTTATTTTACTTGACTATGAGCAATTTTATTTTAGGATGGCCGCACGCCGCTTTTCTACGCTTGTGAACTGGGGTATGCTGGGATAGTTAATGTGCTTGTGAACAGAGGGGCATTTGTCAATCACCAGGATGAAGAATGGAGGTAACATAATGCATTTGTTGAGTAATTATGTCACCACCAGAAGGGGTGACAGACATATCTTTATAGTCTCCAACTTTTTTGTAGAGAGTGTTTGTAGGTTATGGCATTCGGTGGTTGGCATCCTACATGCTAACATTGTTATTTATTCAATATTTGTTGTTTTTATAATTTTCGGCCCGGAGGGCCCTGGAGGCCCTCACCAAAAGACAAAACTACAAGACTCAAAGAGACCAAAACAGAAGAACTCTCTGATTCTACAAGCTTGGGCTTTTTATAATGTGTCATCCTAGGCTAAAAATAGCCTCTAGCATTAAGCCCAAACCAATAGAATCAGAGTTTACCAGTTTAGCTTAAAGATACAGACTCACATGAAAGGCCGTTTACAGATTAAATATGGAATATACATTCAATCATACAGGACTATAAAAATGATCATTCTAAGAAGATGTATGTAAATAAAACTAGTGAAATAGAACTTCCAGGCTGGTAACAAACATAAGCAGTTTTTGTAAATTATATGACAATGAAAAGAATAATCCAACATTGTCACTTGTATGCTCTTATATCTGAAAATGATTTAATTGGAATGGAGAAATGATTTTCTTGAAATTTTGAAGACAAGACAGGATTAAGGATTCTAAATACAAATATCCCATAATATCAGCTACTTCATATTCATTTCAGGACTCCTTTGATGGAGGCGTGTTCCCAGGGGCACAGAGAGGTCTGTGAGTTCCTAGTGAAAAAAGGTGCTAATGTTCAACTAACAGATAAATTAGGTAAACAATTTTTATTTTCAGAATTTTCTTATTTTTAATTTTTATATAGTATTTATTCTAGTGTATAGCAATTTGCATGAATGGGTGACGAGGGTTGTGTATAATTAAGGAATAAAGACCGAGATTCTATGATTTATGGCGCAATTTATGACCAAAAATTTTATTCTGTTCATTGTTAAAAGACTGAAATCGCGTAGTGATTGAGGTCTTTGGCAATGGGCAGAATAAAATTTGAGTTCATATATTTGCCATAAATCATAGAATCGAGGTCTTTTTTACGATTCTAACATGATACAAACCTAAGTTTCTTCCGATTTGATTATTTTCAATCTGAAAAAATCTGCTTTGGACATTCTATATACCAGATTTCATCCTCGCTAAATAGTTTGCAAAAATATCAATTATGAAACTGAGGTCATATTTTTGAGCTGGTTGGTGTTTTTTGGTCTATATTGAAATTTACAGGTCATACGTACCCCAATATATATAGGTTATTTACTGGGAGGGATTGAATATGGGTTTTATTCCGAGGGACAATATGATATTGACCGAAGGGTAATATGATATTGATCGAGGGAGCGCAGCGACTGAGTGTCAATATCATATTTCCCAAGGTCAATATCATATTTTCCGAGGAATGAAACCCATATTCAATCCCGACCAGAAATAACCTATTTATTCCATAATACATTCCTCTAAAATGTTACATTTTGAAAATGCTTTTATCAATTAGCCAAGGTTAAAAATAACAGGAAAACCAAAAATAGGTTGATACGTTCCAATACGATTTTTTCCCGGGGACAATACGATTTTTTTCATGTAATACGCTCCAATACGATTATTTCCCGGGGACTATACGATTTTTTCATGTAATATGATTCAATACAATTTTTATTCCTTCATATTTCCCTGGGAAAACAGCAGTATTATGGAATAAAGACCAATAAATCAATTGTTCTTGTTATTGTGACATCACATATCATGTTAGAATCCCACTTATATACTGATTCATCACATCAATTTCCTTATGGTGTAAAAAAATTCCTTATAGTGTAGTCTTTCCATTTATAACTATTGGTAATAAATATTATATTTATTAAACTGGTCTGTTTTTATTCAAATTAAAACTTAGAATGTTATGCAATTATATTATTATATGAATATGTAATGTATAGTACATGTATCTGTAAAATCTGTGAATTCATACTTTTGGGACACCCTGTAATTATTTCAATTTCAATATCTAGGACATGATGCCAAATGGTATGCTTCTGAAGGGGGCCATAGTGACATAAAGGAAATATTAGAGAAAGCACCTAGTATGGCTACTTGGGATGTCGGTAAGTGAACTGATTAATTATTGCTTTGATTTTGACAAAACAACTTTGTCATGAAGGTAAAAGGAAACAAGTCATAAAGTAAAACAGCCTCACCATCTCAATTGTCTAATAATGACTGACACACTTAAAAGTATTTCTCAAATCATAGGATATTCTCTAAATTGGCCATTTTGAATGTGGTTTTCAGGGCAAGATGAGGAGACTTCCCAACCAGCTGTGCCCCCTAGTGGTGAGGTATGTCACTTTGAATGAAATTTCCATCCATTAGTCTAATCTAAAGTCTTAAGTTTCTTTATCCCTCATTTGCAAATTTTTGGACATTTTCTACTCTTCCTTTTATTTAATCATTACCAATCAGTAATCTGATCTTTTATTGAAAGATGGGGACAAATATTAAATAATTCAGCTGTAAAGATTAATATTTAACTTATTAATTATTAATTTGCAACTAATGATTAATGATTAACAGAAACACTTTTAGCTTTGATTGAGTTTATCACAATCTTTTTTCATCTCGACATAACCAGATTATGATTGCCCACAGTTTATTTGCTTTAGTTTTTGATAAGCTAAAGTAAAAAGGTGTAATATATTTTTGACAGTGTTTATGATCACATGAGTGTGTGCGTATCAAAGAAAAATATTTCACTTGTCAATAGTATTATATTAATGTAGGTCAAGATATTCAATTGAGAATAATTATCAGCCAAGCAATAAAATACCAATTGTTTCTTACCAATATTTTTGGATAATTCATAATAGTGATTAGGGGTACAGTGGACAAATATTTAGGTTGTATTTGAAACTGTAAAATAAAAATGTGAAAAAATCACCCTTGTTATTAATCTTTTTCCAGAAATTGAGTAAATTCAGTATGAATTATTTTCAATGGGTCATCATACATTGAACATAAAAATCTCATCCAATAAGATTTATGATAGAGAGTGATCATAAAATTGGGTTTGGTTTTTACAGTATTAGATTCCCTTTAATTAAATTTCACATTGATCATAACTGGACCATGGGTTTTTCAGTATTAATGTCAGATGTTTCCTAAATATTTTGATCTGATTGAGGCATTTACAATTCTTTTTGATTAATCATCAAAGTAACGATTATTATACAAAACATGTTTGTGTACTTGTAGAAATTTTTCTAACGGCTGTAGTATTTTGTTCCCAGGTATTAATCCATATTGAGATACTTTAAGATATACATGTGTATAAAATTCTCTTAATATATATTCTTAGGGCTGGCTATATACAATGTCATATAACAAGGAAATACTTTTTAGCTTACAAATCTTGTAAAAGGAACTTGAGACTCTTCATAAGAAGGAAAAGTGAATGAATTGTAGATAAAGTATAATAAAGTTCACTTGGATTTTGAAGAACCAAGTTAAATTAAAAGTGACTTAATTTGATAGTTTTAAAAATGGCCAGGACTTTCGTTTCAAAACAGCATCTGAGTTGGATTAATCTGAGGATCGACAGAAAGGTCAGTTGTTAATTCACGGGATGTTTTGGCCTTCGCTCCGACCTTCAAAGATGGGGTCAAGGCAATGGTATATGTCTCTTTTGTAACCTCAATGTTAAAGATACTATACAGCATAGACTTTTTGTCTGTCCCTACTTTGGTAGTGATAGGAATGTATTTTTCAATAATGTTGTGTCAAACTGCAACCACCAACTCTCCTCTGACTTTCTAGCAGGAAGTGTACAACTAAAAACATGTTGGGCTCTGGGAGATGACACTTTAATCTTGTGGGGACATGATAATTACGTGAAGTTTGACAAATATGTCAAATTGTTTTTAAAGAAAATACATGTACAGTGCACACATTAGTCGTATGCATGTTTTTAGTGGCCTTTTGCATGATATGTTTTATCCCATTTATATTTTATATATGATGTATTGGATGCACCGATTTGAGTGCCGCTGCTCTAAAAGCGTTTTCCAAATAAATAAATAAAAAAAAAAAAAAAATAAAAAAAAAAAAAATAATTAAAGGAAGTAGAATGGATTGAAACGAGTTGGTCTGACGAGTAGTGTTAACACTTATTGTATCATTTATCCTATTTTTGCTAAGAATCCAAAAGGGTCACCCTCATATTAGAATCCTCAATATTTAACAGATCTCTTATGTTTGGCTATATTATACCGAAATATTATATTGCGACATATTTAAGATTCGAACATGACTGTATTCACACCTTCTATAAACTGTGATCAAGTCAATGCTTCAGCGGGGTTATATTCGAGATCAATGCCCCAGCTATGTACTAGTGTTTCGTTCAGTGCACTCGATGGTCAGTTCAGGCTGTTCCGTTCTTTTCGCAAAATTTAATTTTTATATGGATATCCGCTGTGATTTTTTTTGTTTCTGGGCAATATAGAATTAATTTCAATTATTATCAATGTAGTAGATATGCGTGAAACTAATAAGATAGGCCGAAATGTCAAATAAAAAAGTCGGGGTCAGGAGGTAAGTAAACAAATTGGAACAGCCAAAAGCTCAACCGGAAGTAGAAATGAAAAAAGTGGAAATGAACATCAAAATTGACGATTTTGCATTATTTTGGTGAGTTTTCATGTTCGCATCGTAATATAGACCTCAGAGCCGGGCTACTATTTTTGAATACACCTTTTAGGGCTAGGCACCTAATCTCCGAACACCTCACTCGCTTCGGTCGTTTGGGGTACAGAAAACGTTTGTGCCTAGCCCTGCGGGGTGTATTCGAAAATAGAAGCACTGCTCTTCGGTGTATATTTCTTAATTCATGAATAATTTGTTCATTGGGATTTGCTACCCTGTAGAGTTCCTGAGTTTTGATTGGCTAATGTGATTTAGTTACAGGGTGAGCCAAAATGGTAACCCACACATTAACACATGTACCTTAATATCTAAATCATTCAGCAAGGTTTAAAATCAAATTTAGCACAATGAAACCTTGTTTATTGTTCCTTTTTTTGGCTTCCTTCAATGGTCTTGGTTTTATCATTTTCATTTTTGAAAGCCCATGGTTTCATCATTCTGATACACATCGCATCTAAAAACCTGTCTGTGTTAAGTTGCTCCGATTTTCCGTGCCAATCCCACTGATCGAGGGGATGGGGCTTTCCATACAATCTTAAAATTCCTGGGAAGTTTACTCTTGTAAAAAAGTTGACATACTTCTAAAAAAAATTAATCGTGTTTCCTACCAATTTAATTCACCATATTCTATAAGATGTTTAAGAATTCATTTGTACGAAAAATATAAAATAATTTGTATAGGAACTGTTAGAAATAAGTGAATACTTAGGACTTTGCAAGGAATTGACCTTGGCGATCTGAAATTCTTAATTACACCATTGATATGCAGTTCATTGAGAGATCCTTTTATGAAAGAGAGTTTGTCATAACGAATTTGATTCGTCCATCGATTCCACCAATTCTAAAACGAAAGTGCCGTATACCAAATTCCATGGCAATCTATGATGAGAGGCCCATGGTATTCCATGATGGGTTTTATGGGCATGAACAAAACATGCTTCAAATGCCGAAACGTCCCACACTCACCAGATATAAATCTTTACAAATTTTCATCTGTGGAGCTTATATCTTATACTAACAACCCTTGAAACATTACAACAAGAGATGAGAAAGAAGATGACACCAATAATACAAGATGTCTGTGCTCATGTAGTGAACAACTGTGCCCGATATGTTCAGGCCTCCAGACACTCTGCCAGTATTTAAATAGCATATTTTTCGAAATGGCCATGAAATCGTCATAAAACATTCACTCTTACATCATAGACCTGTGTAAAGTCTTCTTGCATCCTGGGGGCATTCCTCACACAGCACAATGGGCAACATTCAAAACCTCTGGATATTTGACCATATAAACCACTTCTTGGAGTATGTGCAAGTATTGTTTCATTGGGTTCAGTGTTATCACTTTTTGATTGTGATTGATTGTGATTGTTCGTCAGTGTTCTCACATACACTGGATTCGCTATTTTGAGATTGAATGCTTGATTCCAATGAGCTTATTTTAGGTTTCAGTTTTGACAGAATTTTCTCTGTATCAACCGTAACTGAAAAAAGATCATTAGAATCATGATATTCTTTCAATTCCTCCACATCATCCACAGATGAGTTCCTTTCCCTCTGACTAGATGTAAGCTCACTGTCTGGATCCTGGAGTAGCATTTGTCTCTTGTATTCTAGCTCACACTCTTTAAACACCAGCTTCAGATATTCACAGTAGAACTCAGAACTTATACATGTTGATTTCAGTAGTTCTGGTAGGATGTTCACAACAAGTAGGAATATTCTTGTTTTCATGTCTATATATTTATCTGATTCATAGATATGCATATCAGGATAGTCTTTATCAAAGAGATGTTCAACCCAATATTGAGCTGTCTGAACCATTCCTGTATTCTCTTCAGATCTTATCCCAAGCTTACATAGATCGTGTGATATGTCATAATGACATTTCCCGAGAGATGGTTCTCCTGCGCTGCTGTCACATTGCTCCTGGTGGTATCTCACTATGGTAAATAGTGCGTGGGAGTGTAACTGCGTTTTATCATGGTCTTCAAGTGTCTTCTCATACTGCAATAGAATATATTTCAGTGTTCTCAATATAATCATGTGATGATCATCAATCCTGGATGCTCGCAAGTGTGGTTTCTCATAGAATGATTTCCTCCAGTGATTATACAGAGGCAATCCCATGGAGAAATTGTCCTCTGTATAAGGAAGCTGAGGCATATTGAGTATTTTAAGACAGAATGCCAGGTCTATGTCTGTAACACACAATGGTCCCCACACCCTGAGTTGGATGCATGGACCATGTGGTTTATAATGCAGTATGACCTCATTCTTTCCCAGCTGAGATGATTCTACAGGTTCATCCCTCAGATCTTCCTCTCCCTTATAGATCAGTACACCCTCATTGTGTAGTTGTGACAAACACTCTGCAACAGCTTTATGTATAATTGATTCAGTTAAATATCTTGGATCAATTGGATTGCCTGATTCTATTGAATAAAACAGCTTCAATGAATTGTCCTGTGTTAACTTTGGATGTTTTATAGTGAGATTTAGTAAATCAGAGTGAGGTTCATCGTCAGGTAACTTTACATCTAACTGACCTCTATTTCTGATTGAACTAGATTATTTTTGGTGTCCCATAATCAACAGGTGTGAAATAACCAAGTTAGTTTTGTTAGAGGAAGGGGGTAAATTATGGTTTTGTTAGCAAATAATGTTGATTTTTGAAATGTTCATGCAATATACGAATAAACATTTTATTGTTAGAAGAGGCTAGGGGGTCAAACAATAATGAAATTAATTTGTTTTGCCACCACTGGTACATGGTGATAATTTGACACTATCCGCTTTACTAAGTCACGTTTGAAACATATTTACGTCATCACATTTGGAGGACTAGTTCTAGTGCCTCTAGTAGATTTGCTTCGCCTATAGCATTGCTGTTATCTAGCCATATTATCATCAACATGCTGAAATATTCATATATATACAGTAAAACCTGTCCGATGGAATACCTCTCTGTAGGGAAAACCTATGAACAAGGAATGCTTTTCAAAAGAACCAAATATTTTTCCATTGACTTACATGTTAACGGACCCTCTCTGTAGGGAAAACCTGTGAACAGGGAACAAGGAACACTATTTTGGGGCAAATTATGAAAATTCACCTGTGAACAAGGAATATGGAATATTGGTGACACTGTATTTTCCATTATTTTTCAGAGGTGTGAAAGTCTTAAGCCAATATCTGATTCTAAAAAGCTTGGATTAATATGATTGAGATTAAGATGAGCCAATTGTTTACACGATGAAGCATCCCACCCACTGTTAATTACCCTTATATATTTTAAAACTAATAGTAATCTGTTTGTCACTAATTATCATGACACTAATTCTTCCTTTCAACAAACCTAATTATATCTAATCAGTTGTGATAATCTAGGGACTGACACAATTGTTTTATGGAGATAACAGATAAGTACATGTGTCATGTTGAGCCAAATCTATCAATAATAACAACAACTAGACATCGATCATCATACGCCAGCAGCAGCGGCTAAAATGAACATTGGGATAATGCTCCTTACCCTCAGCTAAAGGAGGGAGGTGGGAGACCTTCATACATCTTCCAAGATGTCACAACAAGGTCTAGCAACCAAGTATGGAGTCAGTATTGGTAAAATCAATTAATGCCCAAATATATACAAAAAATGCATATTCGGCAATTCTGAGTTTGCTGAAAGTGCGGCCCCTCTCTATAGGGAAAACCTCTGAACAAGGAAACTTTCCTCCAGTCCGAAGAGCATTCCCTCCTCGCAGGTTTTACTGTATAGACTTCAGCTTTTGAAAAATAGCATGATCATATGGTGGTGCCACCTATCATATTTTAGACATGAATGGTGATATCTCAAAAGAATTTCTCAAAAATCATGCAATAATATCAATCTATAATAGAAACACCATATTACCGCACAGTTTGCTGCTCTCTCTGTCTCTATCCTCATAAGCAATTAATGCTGAGAGACCTAAAATTGGGTGCATGCTAGGCAGCTTGGCCTCCAAGGTCAGGTTCACAGTATGAATGGGAAAGTTAAGGATCCTGTGGGTACATATTGCCAATGTCTTTTTTCAAGGTCAAGGTCACAGAAATGTGTAGTTCCTTAGTCCTTAACCAGAAGAAAGAGGAGGGAAAGCCCCAGAGATTAAAGATGACAGACATACTTACCTCTCTTGCTTACCACCTTCGTTTGTTCAAATTTTCATTGGGTAGTTATCAAATACACTTCGATGGGATGTTTTAATTGACATAGGCATATTCCGTACACCTTTCCTTATCTTGATGTGAAATGAGAAGCTATGATATTGGTTAACACGCAAGAAATGAACATAATATTATTCGAAGCGTATTTCGAAAATTTTGAAACCGCCATTGATGATGTCATTTGTTTGTCGACTTTTGACCAATCAGCGACGATGTCATCTCAATACAGATTTACATTATAAGCCTATTGTGTCATCTTTGAACCCTGGTGTGTCTCCCCCTCTGACCAGAAGAAGTGAGAAGCTCCCATAATTCCTTTTGGTACTTATCAGCTTTCCCTTCATGGTCTTACATGCCTTATATGGTTCTATCACATGACATTTAAAATGATGGACAACAGTAAGCTGTATTCCTATAAACCTTATATCGATCTATCACATGTATACTGCATGAATTAATACCAACTCACCAACGCTGAATTGAGATCTCTCCCCCTGTCCTTAACAACATATAAAAATATATAATGGTCACCTAAGATCAATGTTACATTCTCAAAGCAGAAAGCATGCAAATATGCCATCTATTCATTCCAAAAGTATTCTTAATTACTTCAGGTAGATTATGTTGCAAGCTTTGACAGCAGTTCCGTCCAAGATTCTCCTCAACCATCCCCTAAAGTACAAAACAGAGATGCGTCATCCATTAATAATGAGGTAGGTAAATGCATAATGCGAATTTAGCAATTTGAAATATTCATTTTAAGATCTTTTTACACTTTGCAGAAATACCAAATTAAATAGTCACATATGACATGTGTCCAATTTGCAAAAAAGTCAAAAGCTCCAAATTAATGATGAATACAATATGATAGTTTTGAGTTCTCATTTCTTCTTTGATTTGCAGGATGCCTCTGATCAGTGGTCCACGTCCGATTCCAACAACCCACCAGCCTCTGATACTGGTTCACGGAACTTCAACGTCAGCCAATCACAGATCTCAGAGCAGACATTTGAAGAAGAATATCAGGTAATAATTCTATAGAATTTAAAGGGGCACCTAAGACTAGAGATTGGTTGAGATTAATTTTCAGAAAAATTGGCACAATTTCACAAAAATAGTGTAATGACCCAAGGGGCGCCCCAAGGGAATAACTAACTAACGACCGAGCATATTGTGATAAGCCAGATAAAGAATTTGAAAGAAAGTGTGCTCGATTCAATGCCCCGTGTGGGAATCAAACCTAGGACCCTTGGATCCGAAGTCTGATACTCTACCGACTGAGCTAAAGAGGCTTAAGCCAATACAGGGACGTAGTAGCAACTTGCTATCAAGGGTCGTTACAATAGTAAGTAGATAAAGATAAGATCAGACCCATAGCCAGCTTTTGCCAGAGGGGTACAGTTTTTAAATAAATACCAGGGGTTCACAATTTTGGACCAAAATCACTTGAAAAGTGGTTCAAGCCCCTCCCTCAGGCTATTGACCTGGGATTGACAAGTGAGCCAATAGCAAGACAACTGGTCCATAATTTATTTCAACTGGTTATTTTTAAAAGCTGATCATTTAAGACTTGCACACATAAGACATAACACTGGAGTGATTGTCAATGAATTGCCAACTTTGTGTTTTTATCTTATCACTAAACTTAAGTATATTATACACAGTTGTTGTTTGTCTATATTGTTAACAATAGAACATATTCTATGTGAGCGTTCAAACATCTATTTTTAACTCCGATCCATTGTGACATTTCAAAATCTGACATTTATACCATATTTGGAGTTTTCTTATGAATGATCGACAAACATCAATAATTTCCAGGAAATACAAGAAGAACTTGAGGTGCTAACTGAAGAATTAAAACAGAAGAATTTAGACAATAAAAAACTACAAGAACGAATAAAGGAATTTGAGGAAAAAGAGAGGAGTCAAATCCAACAACCAGAAGAACTCAAGACTAGTGAGCTACTCAACGGGTCATTGAGTACTGGAGAAGATGGAAACGAATCAATTGTGTCTGTAGATGACAAGGCAAAAATGAGTAAACTTGAGGATGAAGTTAAACTTTTGAAGGCCAAGCTGTTGGATTATGAAGTAAGTGAAGAGGGATTTACTATAAACATCAAATTCTGTGAGAGGTATTTACTATAAACATCAAATTCTGTGAGACGTATTTACTATAAACATCAAATTCTGTGAGAGGTATTTACTATAAACATCAAATTCTGTGAGAGGTATTTACTATAAACATCAAATTCTGTGAGAGATATTTTCTTTAAACATCAAATTCTGTGAGAGGTATTTACTATGAACATCAAATTCTGTGAGAGGTATTTACTATAAGCATCAAATTCTGTGAGAGGTATTTATTATAAACATCAAATTCTGTGAGAGGTATTTACTATAAACATCAAATTCTGTGAGAGGTATTTACTATAAGCATCAAATTCTGTGAGAGGTATTTACTCTGAACATCAAATTCTGTGAGAGGTATTTACTATAAGCATCAAATTCTGTGAGAGGTATTTACTATGAACATCAAATTCTGTGAGAGGTATTTACTATGAACATCAAATTCTGTGAGAGGTATTTACTATAAGCATCCAATTCTGTGAGAGGTATTTACTATGAACATCAAATTCTGTGAGAGGTATTTACTATAAGCATCAAATTCTGTGAGAGGTATTTACTATAAACATCAAATTCTGTGAGAAGTATTTACTATAAACATCAAATTCTGTGAGAGGTATTTACTATAAACATCAAATTCTGTGAGAGGTATTTACTATAAACATCAAATATCAAATTCTGTGAGAGGTATTTACTATAAACATCAAATTCTGTGAGAGAGATTTATTATAAACATCAAATTCTGTGAGAGGTATTTACTATAAACATCAAATTATGTGAGAAGGATTTACTATAAACATCAAATTCTGTGAGAGGTATTTCCTATAAACATCAAATTCTGTGAGAGGGATTTCCTATAAACATCAAATTCTGTGAGAGGTATTTACTATAAACATCAAATTCTGTGAGAGGTATTTACTATAAACATCAAATTCTGTGAGAGATATTTACTATAAACATCAAATTCTGTGAGAGGTATTTACTATAAACATCAAATTCTGTGAGAGGTATTTACTATAAACATCAAATTCTGTGAGAGATATTTACTATAAACATCAAATTCTGTGAGAGATATTTTCACAATTTTGTTGAAATGTCATTTAGATATTCAAGACAAATACATTTAATAAAAGATTCTTGGAAAGGAGTATTGACAAAATACAGCAGTATGCTCATGTGGGATTTTTGGGATTCTGTCATGCTGAAATCAAATATCAATATGGGAAACTATGGGCTTTCAAACCACCATGGTTTGGAAGTGGTGATAGAAAATTGACGCCAAAACTTTGATTTTGATCGTAAGTTTCCAAGAATGTAACTTTCTATTTGCATCTTCAAATATTTACCTCTTTATTTTTAGCCAGTGGATAATAACGCAGATCAACACAATGACTTGGATAGCTGGGGAAGCAGCGGAGATGAGGATATGGTTTTTCCAGGTACTGATATTTCTTATTTTAAACAAGAGACTACTCACCTTACGATATTGGTAGTTTTCCCAATGTCACCTTTTTGTGGTGGTGACATATTGTTATAGTCTATAGTTTGTGGATGATGTTCGCCAGTTGGTGTTCAGTGTCCCGAGTTCGGCAGTTGGTGTTTGGCATACAGTGGCTGTAACAAATGGTAGGTGGTGACATTTTGCATGTTGATGTCTTGTTTAATTACTAGCCTTCATTTTTGTTTGTGAATTGTGATTAGACTTTGACATCAGGGTTTAGACTGAAACAAGTTTTGGAAACATTGTTGATGTGACATTGTTGATGTCTCACTATATTAAATGAACCAAAGGTTCTCAATTTCTGATCACTCAATTTTTCAAATACTCTTATTGTATCTACAATCCAGCCAATCAGATTAACATGGAGTGGGAATCTGATTATAAAAAAAACTCATATATTTTGAAGATTTTACCAAACACTCTTAATTTAATCTAAAGATGTCTCTTACTTCTTTAATACAGAAGAAGACTGACAACCGTTACCACCGACCATGTGTACCCAACTTTGAAGAGTGACTGGTTGGTGGTCTGCGATTGGTCTTTTCCATTCACCCTGTGTATATATACATAAACCAAAGAAAATGCTTATACAATAACGTAACAAATTGTCACCAACTGGTTACAAAAGTGTAACATGTGTTACAGATGCCAAATGCCAAATCAAACACTGAACAATATTCACATTTATTTTTGAACAAAATACTCAATCATACAGGTGCCAGCTGGTGAATCAGAGCTTATGTGAACGAGGCATAAATAAACTATGGTTTTGTGTGCAAAAAATGGAAAAAATGATCATTCAGTTTTTGAAATAATCCCTCCTAATCCCTACTTAGCCTAAACCCCAACATGGAGGATCAAAATGTTTTTTTAGCTTTAATTAAAAACAAAGTCCGTGACACCCATTTTTATGCCTGATTATGAAGCAGAATGATGTCAGAAAGATTTTAATACACAAAATGCACACTATCCTAAAGTAATTTTTAGGCCTAGGTAGATTAAACCACCTTAATTGTATATTCATGAATCTGCCAGCAAAGTGATTATCTTTCATATATTTTATACATTAATTCACTGTCTAGGTGATTCCACTACGATCACAAACTGTATCTCCAATAACTGTCTCATTATGCATGCATTGAGGAATCATTGTACTGTTTAAATATCTGCTCCATTTTAATCTTCACAGTAAACAGATGCATAGCACTAGTTGAAGGATAATACATGTATGTACAGTACTGAATTAAAGTGCCTCTAATAGTGGATTTCTGAAATACAGGGTATGGACGGAATACTTAAACAAGTGTTCCTTCTGTTGCTGGGACTAACCATATTAGTTTTTAGCTATATTTGGATATGGGGTGGTCAAACTTTGAAAATGAACCCCAGTTATACCATCCCATTTAGCCAAATTGGCAAACCAAAGACTTGGAATCAGTTTGGATCAGTTAAGGATATTGAAGATCCCCCAGTACATCAGTATCAGGGAAAGTGTGCGAAAGAGAGTTCTGAGTTATCTCAGCTGTCATTCAAACTGTTTCAGACGATTGAAGCAATAATGAACCCAGCGGACTGTTCGAAAGCGAAATATCTATTGTGCGAATGGCCTTATAAGGAATGGGGCCTTGGATCAATGATGCACCAAATAAGTTATTGTTTCTCTGTTGCCTTAGCAACCAAGAGAGTGTTGTTGATAAAAGCGAAGTTGAAGTTCATTCCTCATAGTTGGGACTATTACTTGTTGCAACCTAGTACTAAATGCTGGGATTTTCAATACACAAACTATACATTATGGTCTCACTTAGAGAATATTGAGAAGAGTAATGTTCAAGTCGTGCAGATATTACTGAGGAAAGGTGCAGCGCCTGAAAATGAAACGTGGCCCATGCCACTTCCTGAAAACTTAATGAAAAGTAGTGCATTATGGTACAAACTCACCCAACTTCACCAATCACCTGCTTTGTGGGTGATTGGGCAATTGATGGGATACCTCATCCAGCCTTCCCAATCCTTCTCTCAACAGCTAGAGGATCTCAAACTGGCGATAGGCTTCGTACATCCAATAATTGGAGTCCACATACGGCGCGGTGACAAGATCAGACAAGTCAAACCAACTCCCACTTACAAATACATTGAACGCATTGAAGCATACATTAACCAATTAGGTTACAGGATTTCTAACGATAAAGTGCCATCTATATTCATCGCATCAGACGACAGAACGCTGATTGGTCAGATCAAAGAAAACTACACGCAGTATAACTTTGTTTATGTGCCCCCTAATTTTCCCGAAACACCCATAGATTTCATATTGTTCGATATTCTGCTTCTGAAGGAATGTGATTATTTCATTGGAACATTTACATCTAATATTGGTCGTCTTGTATACGAGCTACAACAGAGTATGTATTCAGATACAAGTTGCCTGGCAGAATCAGTAGATTACAACTACATGACAGCCTATTGTTGCGGCATAAGTCATAATCAGCAGATGATGGGATACTTTAAATCGAATTGTTCTACCAGGCAACAATACGATATAGTCAAAGCATGCAATAAAGTGTCAGTGTTCCATCCTTGAACATTTTTAATGAAAAAATAAAATATCACCCAACTCAACTGAATTGATTAGTCCTTCGACAATAAAATATGACATCATTCAATATTAAAACTACAATACTTAGAACATAGTTTATAGTCTAGATGAAAACAAAGGATTTATCAGGTAACCTTGTTTTGGAATATATATGTTTTATTGCATTTTTTGATAGTAGACATGTCCTGGTCAAAAAGCCACAAATATGCAGTTGTGGTAGGTTGAGCGTTTTTTTCTATTGTCTTTTTAAAATTATTTTATATTTCTGAAAGGGGGTATGGCACATTTGGTATTATTCATGTATTCCACTATGTAGTCTTCCACTATTGTGATTGTACTTATATTATTTGGAATTTAGGAAATAAAATAAAAATCTTTAAAAAAAATTCTTAAATCAGTGTAAGCTTGTATTGCGAATGCAACTAACGCCGTCGGCTACAGGATTAACCTACTATTTTACGGGCAACTCATTTAAATATGAATAGTACCTGCCACTATTCCATTCATATTTAAATGAATTGGTCATAAAATAGTAGCCTCATCCTCAAGAAAGGCATAATATCAAACAACAAGTTCTCAATGCAAGGAGAGACGATTCCGACCATCAGTGAGAATCCAATTAAATGCCTTGGAAAATGTTTTGACCACAGTCTCAATGACAAGACCCACACAGTAGATACGCTTCATCAGCTAACTACCTGGATGAAAGCAGTAGATAGGACACCACTTCCTGGGAAGCTTAAGATCTGGTGCTTCCAGTATGGAATTATTCCTAGGTTGAATTGGCCATTCACCATGTATGACTTCTCCATAACTTCTGTGCAGGCCATGGAAAGGATAGCTGGCAAGTTCCTTCGCAAATGGTTAGGGGTTCCTAAATCTTTCAGCTCTGTCAACCTCTACAGCACTTCATCTCCAGCTGCACTTCCTACTTCCTCCATAGTTGAAGAATTCAAAGTGACGAAAGTGCGAACAGCAATGTTGCTCAGAGACTCGAAAGATCCAACAGTCAGGGCACTGTAAGGTTTTTTAGGTAGAGTGGTTTGTTAGTTGTGTATTAACTCGATTTTTTCTGGAATGGTCTATTAGTAGTGTATTAAACTGATCCTTGATTTAGAATGAGCCCCCATATCAAAATTTACAAAAGCTTTACACCTACAATTTACACTCAGTTTATACTTACTTTACACCCAGTAAATAGGTGACCAATTTCATATGCAAATGAGCTAATTTACACTTTAATTTGCACTCAGTTTACACCTTAGTATACACCCACTTTACACTTAAGTTTACATCTACTTTACATCCAGTTCGCACTTAGTTTTCACTTAAGTTTACACTCAGTTTACACTTACTTTACACCCAGTAAAAAGGTGACCAATTTCACATGCAAATGAGCTAATTTACACCTAAGTTTACACTCAGTTTACACTTTAGTATACATCCAATTTACATCAAGAGCACATTCTGATTGGTCAGATTTTAAACTTAATTTACAGTTAGTTCACATAGTTCACCTAATCCTTAATTGGCGAAATGCTAACTGCTTATCGCAGGGGGAGAGAATGCAAAGATATTCTGAATTTTGAAGCACTGTGATCAGAGAATAATATTAATGAAGATACAGGGGGTCCAAAGTGTAATGAATTGCAAAAACAAAAATCCCATGTTAAATCGCCATGGGGATTTTCCTGGAATTTTCTGTCTAAGCTCTTTAAAAAGTATTTGTAGGAGTTGTGCTATAGTACAAATATCACAGAATGATCAGCATTAAAGATATACAAGTAGTTCTGGATAAATTTTTAAATTGAAGTTTTAAACAAAAAATGCTAAAATAATTCTTTTTTGTAAAAAGTCCAAATCCGCCATCTTGAATTATGATGTCACAATGACACTCTTTTGCATATTCAATTTTTTCAAGAAAAACTGGTTGGTACTTGGTGGTATACGCAATATTGTAGCAGCAAATTGGAATCTGTTCAAATAAAACATGAGTGATAGCGATGTATGGGTCTGGTCTACTGCGCGCTGATTGGTCAACAGTGATCAGTGACGTCAGGGTCAAGTGAGGTCACCTGCTTGACCACTGAGAACATTAAATTTAGAGAAAATCGGACAAACTGAGCATGGCATATAAGTAAACTGAACAATATTGCAAAATATTACACGGGATTTAAAAGGCTGAAACTGTTTGGAAAGTTCCTAAATTTAGTGTAATTAAAATCTTGACCGGAAGTTAAAAATCCAGTGTCCTTGACCTGACTGGAAGACGACAACAACAAGATAGGTCCAACAAGATAATGCAGCAAACTCTTTGTCAAGATCTGCTTGGAGAAAAAAGTTGCCTAGCCCTGATACCCCGGCCTAATACCATCAGAAGTGTAAGCAAGGCACTGAACGATACCATATACTTGTTTGTTTTGTTGTTGGTTAGGTAGCACGCCTGTGACGTCACAAACGATTGACAAGAATTTAAACCCTGCTTCAGTAAACTTGATTTCTTATTTTCAAGGACAATTTGGATACTTTTAATTCGGGTAGACCTAAGGCCCAAGTATGTTAGCTTTTTTTGTTATGACAACATAATCTCAAAGATACTCCATAAATTAATTTTGGAATGTGTTTTTGATCCTACCACCCCTATGAAAAAAATAAAAGCGCCCGCCTGGGTCGCCTGCCCACCTGTAAAATACAGGTAACCGATTCCAAAAGATACCCCGTTTCGTTATTGTGAATTCATATCTTTTCAGAAAAGAAACTATCATTCAGACTTGAATTAAATGGCCAATTAGTATTACTGTAATATTCTGAAGAAATAATTTTGCTCCTAGACACCTTGCTCTTGTTATAGATATGAACACCGTAAATGGTTGAATTCTATCTATTCATTTATTTGCGATAACCTGTGTGGCATTTTTTCTTGTTAGTGTTGCAAGATTATCTTTTAATGTAAAGTTGGCATTAATTTTTGTCTGTTTGTCCATGAGCCAAAACTCATTGATCATAAAAGAGTCTACCATTTCTACTTTTCTCATTTATTAAATTGCAATGTAATCTTTTTCATTCTGACACTAATCCTATTTGATTTAAGATTTAAATTCTAAAAATACACTCATTATGCCCTTGTTTTAGATTTAAATGGGACTTCTATGCTATATAGGTCTACATGAACACAGTAAATGGTTAAATCCATTCTGATACTCATCACATATTTCTGCCTTCAACGACAAATATGAAGGCCATGATTTCTCATGATGGGCTAAATCTCACCTAATTTAATTTATGAACTTTTCCTTATAGAGTATTTTCCCATGTTTGTTCTGAACGTACTAGATCTAAGGTTGTATATTAGTCTGGTTTGAATGTGGTAGAATTAGTGATTCTCAGTTTATATAATAAGGTTTTGTCTCTTGGAGATTAATTAATTACCCTACATACAATTCTGCTGATTTTTTTCGTAATACATTTGTTATATCTCTAGCTCCAGCTACTAAGAATTTGAAGATTCTACCTGATGCCTTTAAAAAGTTTTAGAGAAAACCTTAACTGTGAGGGCCTTTTGTACAACCCCCCCCCCCTTTAGGGCTTCTAGGGCCAATTGCTAATGAGTTAATTAGCTAATAAATCCATATTTTGTATATACGATTTCAATTGTTTATATTAGGCTTCCTGCTACTGTTACAATTAACAATATTTAAAGCTTAAGACTGCTTTGCTATTTTGATGAAGTATTTTGCTGACATCAGCATATTATATTTCGAATGAAGTTAGTTAAAAGAGTGACCTTGTTCTTTAAAACATGAAGTTTTGACCATTCAAGTCTGAATATACGGCTGTAAATTGATTAGATATGTAAAATCAATTGAAATGAGAAAAGTAACTATTACCACTGACTCAGCACTTAATTACAGCATTAATGTTTATCAGTTTCAAGGTTCAGTTCAAAGTTAATCATGTAAATGAGACATGACATCACTAAAACCATGTAAAAGCAAGTAAATAAGTTCTTAAAACTAGATTCTTAAAATCCCTACTTATGGAATATTACAAATTCTGCTGACTATGCAGAAAAAATTGCTCAAGGTAACATTACTGCATAGTTGTCAAATCTTCATCAGAACACATGAGACCAACATATTATGCAATAAAACATTGTATACAGGGTGTCCCGAAAGTATGGGGCCCCCCCTAGGCAGACATATACCAGTGTCGTCATAGTATGTGTTATATATCATTTGAAAGCTTATCCAAAGTTACATTGATTCGCCAAGTATCATGGTTCAACTCTCAAATGTGAAAAAATTACAGGCATTTGAAAATATAGTGTTTGGTCAAAATTAAGTTCAATTTTACACCAAATCACAAGTCAATGTGTCCTCCTTGGCCATCTTAACAGCAGCAATTCTTTTCGGGTCGGAGGGATATTGAGTTGGAAAAGAGAACGGTGAGGGTAGAAACTCTAAGGAAACTCTTCTAAAGTCCCTTATCATGTTTTAAGAGGGTTATAAAATCCCACACCCCTATTTGAAGGGCTTTTAATGTCATATCTGAAAATAATTGCAGCTGTTAACATGGCCAAGGGGGAACACATTGACTAGTAATGTGGTGTAAGATTGAACTTTATTTTGACAAAACACTAACTTTTAAAATGACTGTAACTTTTTCCCATTCGGGAGTTAAACCATGATACTTGGCAAATCAATGTAACTTTGGATAAGCTTTAAAATGATATATGACACATACTATGAGGACACTGGAATATGTCTGCCTAGGGGGGGCCCCATACTTTTGGGACACCCTGTATACTCCAAAACAACCCCCTCTTGGCTTTCTTCTAGACTATTAATGTTCGAAACTGAAAGAACAAAATATATGGCATCATTCAATACAATAACAAAGTTCACTGTGTTAGGCTTCACTGTGTTAGGCTTCTTATTTCCTAGTCATGTATAGGACATGCATAATAGACCAATCAGAGCATGATGAATACAACAGTGAATGATAATGTAAAATAAAAATATAAGAAGCAATATTTTAGACATTGTTAATTAATTATATATTGTTAAATAACTCATTAGATCTCTACTCATAGAAATTGTAAAAAAAATGGACTTGGTCAAAATATAATTGTTGCATCAAATAAATAACACATATGGGTGTATGTAAAAGACTGACCACCGACCAGTCACTCTCCAAGCTTGGGTCCAAAATCAATAGTCAGTGCTTGGAGGTCGGTATTCAGAGGGGTCAGTCTTTTTTGTACACCCATGATTTTTCCTTTAATCTTTTTTATACTATAAATAAATCAAAACTTCAGGGACTGAGAAATCAAGTGTAATGTATAGAAATTTAATAATAAATAATGAAATTAAGTGTACCTTATCTGAATTGGCGTTCCTTGACTTACACACTCCTCCAAATGTTTGGAAACCAAAACTCCCCCATTTGTCTACTCCCCCATTTGTTCATGTTAAAGCCTCGTCACTTTGCATTCTTATTTGCTAAATGTGCTCTTGGTAATTTTCACTTGCAACTTGCCGTGTGCGTTCACCGTTCACCAGCATGTGGAAAATTTTAGCTCACAATATAATTTTCTAATTAATAATTGATTTTTGTATGGGAGATATCTTGCTGTAAAACTATTTGTTTTGCCTACCATGTGTATCGTAAATTAAGATGGTCTGTCTTTTACAGTTTTTTTTAAACCCTGCTCTGAGGCTACCTGTGGTATGACCGAGAGGTCGGTCTTTTACGTACACCCTTTTAAAGAAAGATATTAATTCTGACTTTTTTTCATTTAAACTGAAATAAATGATATTATGTTTTTTGTAGATTCTAGTAGAAATGGCATCAAACAAAACACCAGTAACCAATCGGAGAGTTTGATGACAGATGCGCAGAAACAAGATAAGCAAACAATAACGATACTTCGCAGTCAGATCTCCACTCTTGAGTTGGAAAACAATGAACTAAAGACGAAAATATCAGTAAGTACAATCCTAGACTAAACAAAATGATTTCCATAATATTGAACCATATGGTAGTCCATTGACTAAAAGGCAATCCGTTTTTCCAAACTCACTGTGATGGGTGTAGCCAGGCTAGGCATGAGGCCATGAAGACATACACTGTCTCCCAAAAATGTTACAGACTTTAACTCAGTATTGTCTCACCCATTTGAATTTGCCTCACCTATTTAATTTTACCTCATCGCCTATTCCAAATTTGCCTCACCTATTTAAATTTACCTCATCACCTATTCCAAATTTGCCTCACCTATTTGGATTTACCTCATTACCTATTCCAAATTTGCCTCACCTATTTAAATTTACCTCATCACCTATTCCAAATTTGCCTCACCTATTTAAATTTGCCTCATCACCTATTCCAAATTTGCCTCACCTATTTGGATTTACCTCATTACCTATTCCAAATTTGCCTCTCCTATTTAAATTTACCTCATCACCTATTCCAAATTTGCCTCACCAATTTGAATTTGTCTCATCACCTATTCCAAATTGGCCTCACCTATTTAAATTTACCTCATCACCTATTCCAAATTTGCCTCACCTATTTAAATTTGCCTCACCTATTCCAAATTTGCCTCACCTATTTAAATTTGCCTGCCTGGTTTTAGATCTTCCATACTCCCCTGCATGTGGCTGGTTGTTTGTTAAGTTAGGTGTTTCCTATTATTCATATGTATTTGCATATTCCAGAAATATGATGCTAAACTTGTTGAAAATGAAGAAGAGGATGAAAGAGTTCCGCTGTCACAATACACTGAGCTTGAACAAGCAAACGATGTAGAGGTGAAAAGGCTTAAGAAGGAGATTGTTAAACTCCAGGATGAAGTGTTTCATTTGTCTATGAAACAGGTATGTTATATAAAACCAGTCAATAGCCTGATATTTATTGCATTAATAATGTCAAGTGTATGCATCGGTCATGATTTGTTTGAGAAGTATATTCATATTTTGTATATTCATATTTTGGGATTTTAGTAAAGGCATTACCGAGATTATGAAATGGAGAAATATCAATGAGTCTGGTTTTTTCAATTAAATGAATATATCAAATGGCTATGCACCCGAGAATACTTATATGTAATGCCTTTCAAAAATTATTTAATAAGAATTAAGACGTTTTTTCGAAAGTTGTTTTGCTACTCTGATCACATCTTTGAGTGAGATCCATATCATTACATCAAAAAAATTAATTGATGTAATTGAAAAATCCAATATCATCATTTTTCCAGGATGCTGACATATATGAAGATGATGACAGTTTCGATGTCACTGACCTTCTGGATGATGGCCCTTCTCAACAACAAAGTAGTCAAAAACCATTACAAAAATCGACACCACCAGATAATGTGCTCAAAAATGAAAATACAGATCTCAGAGAAAAAATATCAGTCATTGAAAAATCCCTCCGTGACGCACAATCTAATACTCAAGAACAGTCGCAAGAAAATAAACACTTAAAACAAGAAATTGTTCAACTTGAGGAGCACATCAAAATCATGCAAGCAGACATTGATTCGGCCAATCAAAAATCAGAAAAACCCACCGAGAATGAACCCATTATTTCAAATGATGCAGTCACTAATTTAACCAAGGAGAATACCTCACTAAAAGCTGCAATTGCCTTGGAGAAACTTGAGCATGAAGTGTCTCACAAAACAATAGAAGAACTCATGAGTACAATTGAAGATCTTCAGCATGTCATAAGTGAACTCAAGGAGAAACAAACACAAGAGGAACCCTCCATTGATGATCAGGAAAATGAGCAAATTATGATCTCCATGAAGGAAACAATAAAAGTTTTGAATACATCCCTGGAAGATAAAAATAATGGCAGTGAAAAACTACAACAGGAGATGATGTTATTAAAAACGACAATCAAGGAATTAGAAGAGGAAAAAAGGAAACAAGAAATGGAAATATCTAGTCTAAATTCCCAAATTGGTTCCACACCCGAGAAACAGAATAACCTTGAACAACTTGAAGCTCAAATAGCAGAGCTCCAAGAAACGATGATCGACCAGGATGAAGCAAGGACTAAACTCATGGAAGAAAATCAGTCTTTAGCCGACAGTGTTATCCAGTTGCAAAATTCAATAGAGACTCTAAAGAAAGAGAACCTTGAAATGAATGCAGTAATTGAAAGGTATCAGCACCAAGAAGAAGAACTAAAACATGAAAATGAAGACTTGAATATCCAATATAAAGCACTAGAAGATGGTGTAACAGCCTTAGAAAGTGAACTAGAATCCAAAACTGAATATGAAACTAAATTCAATGATGTCCAAGCTCAAATTGTTGAGCTTAACAATGAAAATACTCAATTAAAACAAGAGCTTAATAAGATGCAAACTGAACATAGTCAGCTGTCAGATGACCTTACTGTGTACAAAAGTAAGGAAGAGCAATTTTATGCAGCTTCAGAGAAACAAAAAGACGTGAACAACAAAAATGTTGATTTGGAATTTAAGAGACTACAAGCTGAGAATGATAACTTAAACAAAGCAAATGCTGATGTAGTGAATCAATTAAAAGCATTTCAAATTGAAACTGAAAACGTCAAGAAGGTCAACACAGAACTTGAAACTGAATTCAATAATGTTAAAGCAGAAAACAATGGGTTGAATAGCAAAATTGAAGTCGTTGAAAGAAAATTGGAAAAGCTACAAATGGAACATGAAAACTTGAAACAAGTAAATGCAGACCTTGAAATTGAGTTAAACAAACTTGAAACAGAAAATAAAGACTTGAACACCAGATCAACTAAAGATGAAACAGAAGGGGTAAACCTGGAAACTCAGTTGTCAAATCTTCAAACAGAATATAACCAAATCAAAGACAATCTTCAGTCGAGTCAAAAGAACGAAAATCAGCTTTCGATTGAAAATACAAGTTTGAAATCTGAGATTGATGATTTGAAATCTGAAATACAGCGTTCAAATGCTGAACTTCTGACAATCGCCGAAACTGAATCTAATCTGAAGAAAGAAAATGAAACTCTAGTGAACAGTGTAACAGAACTAGAGGCTAGTATCCTAGCATTTGAAAAGGAGGTTGAACAATACAACATACGTGATAGTGACAATGTTAAAGAAATATCCAATCTTAAAAGCAATTTGGACATTTTCAAAATGCAAAATGTAGAATATCTTGGTGAAATCGAAAAATTAAAATCTGTTAAAAATCAGATGGGGCTACAAACCACTGAGACGAGTCATCAACTAAATGAGGTACAAGGTTCCAATGATAAACTAAAGAGAGAGTTAGAAGCCATAAAAGACATAGAAGCTGAATATTCACAGCTATTAAGTGACCAAAACATACTCGTGGAAGAAAATACTGCAATGGCTGAGGAAATTGATGACCTTAAAACAGCTCAAGTTACAATGAGTGTTGAATTTGAAAGACTTCAGAAAATCGAGAATGAATTTAAAAGTTTGAGTAATCGATACAAGACACTGGCTGCCGATTATGATAACATTGATATGGAGTGTGAACGTGTAAAAGAATTGAATGCTAAACAGATGGATGAAATTGGAGAACTACAACAAGCAGAATCAGAAAAGTCACAGTTGACAGCTAGGAATGCAATCCTTTTAGCTGATAATAACAGTCTGGTAAATGAAATAACAATTTTGAAATCTGATAACATTCGACTGAGTGAGAAAATCAAAAAAGTTCAAGATTCTGGGAAGAAATCACGCGGAACGACTTCTGATGAAATCGAGGAACTCCATTTGGAAAATGACCGACTTCAAGCGAAGGTTTCGCAGCTCAACAGGACAACTCAATATAAAGCAGATGAATTAAAATCAGTTCAAGTTGAAAATGAGAAACTCCAGGCAAAGGTTAAGGAACTTATGAAAGGTATCACTGAACGAAAACAAGAAATGACTGCACTCAAATTAGAAAAGATTGACTTAGATAGAAAGTTAAGAAACACACCTGAGCTACAGCTTGAATCTGATATGGAAACAGGTTTGGATGGAGAAACTAAAAATAAAATATTAATCGCTGAAAATGAAAACCTACGATCGGAAAATGAACGCCTTGATGCACGAATAAAACAACTTCAGCATGAGCATGCTGAAAAGCGAGATGCATTTAAGTTAGAATCAGAAAATCAAGAGATGAAAAAACGACTTGAGGCATTAAATAAACAGATGCAAGAGTCCACGACACTGAATGGACTGGGGAATATGGACACAAGAGAGAAGATTGGGAAAGAAAAGGCATTGGAAATTCAACTTGGACAAGTCCAACAGCAATTGATGGTGAGTTATATTCTGAAGCATTGCACAATTTCAGTGACTAGTATAAAAAAGTATCAAAGTTACAATTTACTGTTGTCTTATGTATTTTCCAATTGTGATTTATTTAGACATTCTCTTTTCATCATTTTTGAGTAAAAATGTCAAATATTAATGTCCCAGATTTTGTCAGCTTTTCTGAAGTGCTGTATATTTTGATTTTAGGAGAGTGAACAACACTTTAAAGACGTCATCAATGTATACAGGGCTCATCTCCTATGTGCCGTTCAGGTAATCACATTCACTAGTGTGGTAAAGGTGATTTATGTGGTGACCATATTTCATGACTGTACCACATTATTTAAATTATTCAATAGTGTGGTTAAAGTGATTTATGTGGTGAACATTTATGTTGTTTTTACTCACATTTATGTTGTTTGTACTCATATTCATGCTCTTTTTACTCACATTCATGTTGTTTTTACTCACATTTATGTTGTTTGTACTCACATTTATGTTGTTTCTACTCACATTTATGTTGTTTGTACTCCCATTCATGTTGTTTTTACTCACATTTATGTTGTTTGTACTCCCATTTATGTTGTTTTTACTCACATTTATGTTGTTTGTACTCCCATTCATGTTGTTTTTACTCACATTTATGTTGTATGTACTCATATTCATGCTGGTTTTACTCACATTTATGTTGTTTGTACTCACATTTAAGTCGTTTTTACTTCAGGGGCAGCTAGACAGTGATGTAGTGAATTCTCTTGAAGATATCATCAGGTTGAGATCATCTGAGGAACAATGGCTTTAGAATCTTCACAACATCCCGACGTTAATGAATAGCTTAGAAAAGACTCATACTCACATGATGCAATAATGATTGTATATTTTTGCTGATTTTGTTGACTGAAATGTTGCTGTTATAAATATTCACTGAATTCATATTCAGTGGAGTTCAGTTACTTTTTATTATTTTGCCATTATGCTTTGACATTATACTCTATTGGTACAGATGACATTGTCACATTCCAAGGATCTTATATTTCAGTAATGCCTGGGTCACATTTGCTGCGATTCATTAGCCAACGCCCGGCCGATTGAGTATTTTGTTCAAAATTGAATACATTTCTGAACAAAATGCTTAATCGGCCAGGCGCCATTGTGAAAATCGGAGCAAATGTGACCCAGGCATAATCTATGGCCATTACTGAGGGAACTTGTAGCAAATCACAGAAATTTCATGAATATCATATTTTCAAAGTTGGAAACAAGGCATTAACATGACAAAATGTCACCACCTAGTTGCTCACAATATTATGAGTTCAAACTTAAGTCAGATTTAAATTTCTGAGAACTTGTAAAGTCAAATTTGAACTTCTGAAAAGATGTAGATGATTTTGAAAAAAAAATTTGGTCAATTTGAAGCAAGTTGAAAACAGACCTTTTTGACCTTTTTTGACCTTGAGAAGGTCATTAAAGGTCAAATGTCAAATCTAAAGTCAGATTTGAATTTCTGAGAACATGTAGATGATTTCGAAAAAAAATTTTAGTCAATTTGAAGCAAGTTGAAAAAGACCTTTTTGACCTTTTTTGACTTTGAGAAGGTCATTGAAGGTCAAATGTCAAATCTTAAGTCAAATCTAAAGTCAGATTTGAATTTCTGAGAACAGGTAGATGATTTTGAAATTTTTTTTTAGTCAATTTGAAGCAAGTTGTAAAACAGACCTTTTTGACCTTTTTTGACCTTGAGAAGGTCATTAAAGGTAAAATGTCAAATCTAAAGTCAGATTTGAATTTCTGAGAACATTTAGATGATTTTGAAAAAAAGAATTAGTCAATTTGAAGCAAGTTGAAAAAAGACCTTTTTGACCTTTTTTGACCTTGAGAAGGTCATTGAAGGTCAAATCTAAAGTCATATTTGAATTTCTGAGAACATGTAGATGATTTTGAAAAAAAATTTAGTCAATTTGAAGCAAGATGAAAAAATATCTTTTTGACCTTTTTTGACATTGAGAAGGTCATTGAAGGTCAAATGTCAAATCTTAAGTCAGATTTGAATTTCTGAGAACACGTAGATGATTTTGAAAAAAAAAATTAGTCAATTTGAAGCAAGTTGAAAACAGACCTTTTTGACCTTTTTTGACCTTGAGAAGGTCATTGAAGGTCAAATGTCAAATCTAAAGTCAGATTCGAATTTCTGAGAACATGTAGATAATTTTGAAAAAAAAAATTAGTCAATTTGAAGCAAGTTGAAAAAAGACCTTTTTGACCTTTTTTTGACTTTGAGAAGGTCATTGAAGGTCAAATGTCAAATCTTAAGTCAAATCTAAAGTCAGATTTGAATTTCTGAGAACACGTAGATGATTTTGAAAATTTTTTTTAGTCAATTTGAAGCAAGTTGAAAACAGACCTTTTTGACCTTTTTTGACCTTGAGAAGGTCATTGAAGGTCAAATGTCAAATCTTAAGTCAGATTTGAATTTCTGAGAACACGTAGATGATTTTGAAAAAAAAATTTAGTCAATTTGAAGCAAGTTGAAAACAGACCTTTTTGACCTTTTTTGACCTTGAGAAGGTCATTGAAGGTCAAATGTCAAATCTAAAGTCAGATTTGAAGGTCAAATGTCAAATCTAAAGTCAGATTTGAATTTCTGAGAACATGTAGATGATTTTGGAAAAAAATTTAGTAAATGTGAAGCAAGTTGAAAAAAGACCTTTTTGACCTTGAGAAGGTCATTGAAGGTCAAATGTCAAATCTAAAGTCAGATTTGAACTTCTGAGAACATGTAGATGATTTAGAAAAAAATTGAAGTCAGTCTAAACAGTATTTGTTAAGTTATAGGAAGTTGTAAGAAATTGTTACAGACGCCGGACGCCAACCACCAACCACCAACCGCCGGACGCCGTCGCAAAAAAACGGAGACCATAACAATATGTCACCACTTTTGGTGGTGACATAAAAAGCAAAAAAAATTAGTAGTACACAAATATTACCAGGAGGACAGTTTGTGACATTGTCAATCACAATTCTGTAGTTGTTTCTAAATATATGAATTTGATGTATTTGTAACCAAGGTCACCAATCATCAACTTCATTTACTTCAGTGTAGAATGATTTCTATGTTTCGCAAGTCATCCAACTAAATGAAGTTAAGTTATTTAATATATCACAAGAGTAATGGATCTGCATAGAAATATTAATTTTGTCTTTTTGGTGCAAACTGTAGGTTATCACATTTTTAAATTGTGTAATTAATGTTAAGAGAATAATTAAGAATCAAATTTTAAACAAGTACACATACAGTAAAAAAAAGATACAGAATTTTTATTATACAGTAAAGCCTATCAAGTTGAACACCTTTGTTTTGTAAGTGAAACACCCCTGTAAGTGGAACACCATTTTAAGTAGAACACCATTGTTAGTGGAACACCTTTTTGAAGTGGAACACTCCCATTGTCCCCCAACCCATTGACATAATGTTTATTGAACCTCTTTAGCGGAACTTTTTAGGTGAAACCATTGGTGTTCCACATTCATAGGTTTTATTGTACTTTATTGTAAAGTGTTTAGATTACAATAATTAGTTTGCATAATTAGCATTGTCTATAATTGGTCAAATGTGTTAAGATTTTTTATCATTTATTTACATAGAATCCAATATACATCATCTTATTATATATAATTTATATTGATGCATACAGTTATATATCATTCCAATATTATAAGATTATATTTCCAAAAAAGTTTTATAGGCCAACATAACACTCCAATGAATATGCAGTTTTATACAGTTTTCACATAACATTCAACTTTCCTCTTTTTATACTATATATGTATGCTTAGATGCTATCAGCTGTACTATGTTACCACCAAAAGTGGCGACATATTATTATAGTCTCCAACATTTTTTGTGGAAGGTGTTTTGCGATCAGCGTCTGTAACAAATGGCAGGTAGTGACATTTTGCATGTCAATGCCTTGTTTAATTTTTCAGGGAGAATTAATGTATTCAACAGATCATTTCAATCAAACCTGACACCTTTTGGTACATCATAGGAGCTATGATATATTGACAATTATATATAAGCGCAAACGCCAAAAGGGAAGGGTGACTAAAAACTTTAAAGAAACCCAATAAGAAAAGCAAACTGTAAGTGTAAATCTGTCATAAGAAAAATAGACCCTATATATCCCAAAACCATGATCTAACGTGAAAAGAAACAATGTCTAACATCCCCCTCCCCCTCCAATCGAGAACCAATATCACAAGATTGACGATGTTTGTTTCTTTTCAAAATTGACATTTACTTAATCATTCTTACTTGGACAGATTGTTTATACAACCAATGACATCATCAATCTAGCCAATGTATCATAGCTTCTTTGATGTATTAAAAGGTGGCGGCGTTTATTGGAAAGGTCTCTTCAGCAACAGTTTGCCTTCAATATTGAAAAGTAGTATTACAATTGGGCTTTTAAAGGGGCAACTAAGGCCTGTACATGTAGAGAGAAAATAGGAAAATTTTAACTTTTTCTGAGTTATCAAGGCAACATTTGACATACCTGTTTTCTTAAAATGTATGGATAAACTATCAATTTCAGCTTTAGAAAGTGTAAATTCAGTTCAAAGCTTCAAAAAGGGGAAATTGACTTTTATATTTTTAAGATCCACCATGTTTCAAGTAGAATATCAGCTGAAATAATGTTTATCCAGGGGGTTTCCTTGTAGATAATAAAAATAAATGTAAGTCTTGATGAAATATCCAAACTTGTATATATTTTGACACTGGTCTTTGATCGTTGAATGGCCCCTCTGCACTTATTGTTGCACCTTTAACTGCCTTGAATGAAAATAACAATATTAAGGGGTAAGATATCAAAATTATCTTGTGACAAAGAATATTCAATTTTGAAGGTTCACATTAATCAACCATTTCTCATGTAATGTCAGTTAGAGACAAAGATTTTCTTCAAATAAATCGTGTTCGTGGTGTGCCAAAACAATACAGTATATGTATGTCCAAATGGCAGCTAAAAGGTAAAAGCAGTCGATGTATACGTAGATTTTGCATTTTTAGAAGAGCGGGGGTAAGAAACCTCTTGGGGACAGTAATCGTTCTTCTAATCAATTGTATTCACATTTGAGGGACCACCGACTATATGAAGAAAATGGCCGAAAATGCTTCAACGAACCAATCAAATTCCTTGTAAGATTAGGGCTAGATCTTAGGTTGTGGTCCAAAAATCGTTACTCGTATTCATTCAGCTTTAATAAATACCAGGACTTGGTTTTAGCGTTTGAAGGCATTTCTAGCGAACGCCAGTACTATATGCCTGGGACAGTATTTTACCAACGATGTGATTTAGTTCTTAGCTAAAATAAATTTAAGATATAGCTATAACATTTTAGCATTGTATGTGTAATTACATAATCTTCAAGTTCTGAAAAAATGAGAGGGATATGTGAAAAATCACAAAATGAGAGCATTTTTATCAGAATATATGATTCGCCCCTTGTATATTTGAACTATAGGAAATGTTCAATCAGTCCTAATACAAAATCACCAACTTTGTATAAATATTACATTATGCACCGCAATGACCAAACATTGAATTATAGATACGGTATATTATATTATACATACTGCCAAAATGTAAACCTGATCATGATCATGTTTTGTAATTATTGTGAATATTTTAATAAACATATATAAAAATGGATAATGAATAGTAAACGTTATGTTTTCCATTCTCTTGTAAATTCTACATATGATTAGGCCAAGTGTTTATTTGTTGAACTGGATTTCGGTTTAGGAAAATAATGTAGTAGGCGAGTGGGAGCAGGGTCAAATATGGAACTTTAATTAAGATTGACTGCAACCGCTCAAAACATGTTGTACTTTCATAATATTGATATGCAGATTCCAAATATGACAATGAAAAGTTTTGAAAAATGGCCCGTTACCATG